AGAGCTCTGCTGATCATTGACCTCAACGTGAGACAAGAATAAAATATGAGTTATCATGAGCCTTATCTAAATAGACCTGTAAAATTGCCACCAGTAGTGTTTGAATCCTCAAAGGCTGTGGGGACTGTGCTTCACATTGGCTGTGTTAAGTCCCTCATCTCTGGTGACTGATTCAACTCAATATTACTATCACTGATAGCGTGTGTGCCATATTCTTGCCTTACTCTGAGACTAAGCCTTGCAGCTTTATTTTCTAATATTGCCATCACCAACTAGTTTCAGTTTTTTTTCCTGATGTTAGGGTTACTTGAGAAATGGAGTCCTGATGTACTCAGACCTCTGCCAGTTCGGGATAAGATATCAAAGGCACTAATAATTCTCCAAACGTTTCTCATGCTTCTTTTAATACATCCCTGTCTTCCAGAGCACAGACATGGTCCTATTCAGTCTTTTTTTGCCATTGTGTGGACAGAGTCTTATATTTCTGGTACTCCCTCATCCTGAAGAAGAAAGGAGGGTGGAGATAAATTTTTAGAACTCCGAGCTCTCAGCGAGTCTATCTGCCATTTAAAGTTTTGGATAGTCTTTTTTTTTTTTTTTTTTATAGTGTCTTCCTTAGATCTAATGAAACTTTTCTTTGTTAGTCCTAATTTGTAAGATATCTTGGTCTTTGTGAAAATTCACTTGTTTTACTGGAAGTATTTTGAGTCACATGTTTCAAGTTCTGAAAACATGTGACTACTCAAGTAGGCTTTTCAGAATTAGTCATTGTACCTTGCTCTCTGCTCAGCTATCAGAATTAAGAGGGATCTGTATTTATTTCCAGTGTAGTCATGAGGTCCCCCCCTACAGAGGTCTTCTGTGATGAATCTCCATATGTCTTATCCATGAATTGCAGTAAAATCCCGCCGAAGTTAATTGTGGTATATGACCTGACATATGTTTTTATATGAAGTTACACAATTATGGCAGTGGCTCTCCAACACTGGTTGAGAACAGTTTACCAACCATGCAGGCAGAGGATGCATGTGAAGAAACACCTTTTTCTGTAGACTTCTGGGTCCTTTGATGGACATTTCCTTCCCATGTCTAATGACAGATGAATCCAAGTCAAACTAGGATGTATGCCTCAGCTTTCTGCAGAAGCAGAGTCTAGGAGCCCAAATAAAAGTCTCAGTGCATGTAAAAGTGCCATGACTAAGAACAGTGTAATAAGCCTGTGAACATTTTAAAAGTGTTTTTAAGGGAATAATTTGTTGAACCTTAAGACATAATGCAGTGTCTATGTAGGCTGGCAGAAAGGGATCCTTGAGTAGAAAAGCAATATGCTGGCGAGACTGATGAACCCTGTATGATATCAAATCACTAGTCTTCCACCTTTCTGGTTCCCAGAGCAATTCCACAGAAAATCAAAGTAGAAAGCTCCATCAGTCATGAAGGGCAATTAAAGACTATTTCAGATCTCGTAATCCTAAAATGGGGTGTTCCTCAGTGGATTTGTTTCCAATAAAAACACAAAGTGCCTAGCATGCCATTCCCAGTGGGAAGGAAGACCAGGACTTCTGTTTGGAAATGGTGATGTAATAACAAACTTCATCAAACCTTTTTCTCCCTTCCATCAATCTTTTCAAATCCAGACAGTTCTGGCAGGGACAGTGGAAGACCGTCACTTCCAGTGCTTGCTCTATGAGTCTGTTCTCTCATCTGCTCCCAAGCTTCACTGGAGTTGATAAGAGCCCGAAGATCAAACTGGAAGTGTCATAAAGATGCCCCAATTTTTGTGTCACTTTCTTCACGTTGTTTCATTGTTGCCTTTTTGTTCAATTTCTCATTGCTCCTATTATTAGTATATTGTATTCCTTTCATACTTACCTTCATCAGTAATGGATCTGCTCTATTTTCTTTTACAAGAGGGAGTTCCATACTAGTTCTTTATTTACATCTGATTTCCTATAATCTTAGCTTTTACTTCTTTAAATTTATACTCTGCATCTGTAATGCATAACACTTTTACATGTATTTAGGCCTCAGAATCTTTTGAATGTGTGCTGATAGACTTTCACATTTTTTAGCACCTGTCCAAGTGGAATATAGCTGTTGGGCTCATCCCATCGCTACGGTTTTGCAGTGCCCACTAACAGAGTACAACATGCAGACTTTGACTTGCCTACCTGGAGCTGTCTTCAGTTAGAGATTGCATTGCTTCAATTATACAAATTTATAAACCCACTAGTATAGATGTAGCTCTATTACTTTAAAGTACTTTATATTCTTTTATTTTTTCTGTAAAGTAGGGAGATTTATATCAGTATGAATGTGCCTTTATCAGGGCTTTTGCTGGCTATAATTAGACTGACAACAAAAAGTTATTTGTGGAATACGTTTACTTATTACATCTAAATGCTTTACAGGTAACATGTTGCATTATATGATCTATTGTTTTCAACAGCTTATCTGGTTTAATTTTTCTCTTCTTGGCTCGGTGAGTGGGAATAATCATGGAGTTATGTGCATTATTTCTTTCTATAAAAATGACCTGCACCTTTTGTTATCTGCTTCATGTTTTTCCGTAAGGCTTGAGTTAAATCAAAGAAGGCTGTTCAAGGAGGAGGAAAGAGGAAGCAAAACAATAACAAAGATAAGTAGATCACAAGAAGAACTATTAACTGGAAAATGCTCCTTATAAGATTCTACCACATAAGCATGGTTTACTATCCCCAGTGCTGAAAGCCTAGGATCGCAGAATCTGACCTTTAAACATGACGGCATGTGAAGCGAGAAGCACTGAACATATTTTTGCATATGTTGCTATAGAGATGCATCTGTGAAATAGAGGGATACAGAACTGCAGCAAGCAGGCTGGTGGTCCCAGCAGAGAAATGGGAATGAACCTGCATTATTGACAGCAGATGTAAAGTCAGTAAAGGAGATATGGGTACAGAACTCTGCTTCCTTTGCTTATCTTCCTATATTCTCTATTCCTTTCAGCAATTATTATTTTTTTGTTTGTTCTTCTATTTTTGTCTTGAAGAAGCTGTTTCTTGAGCTTCTGTTTTTCATCAGTTACAGGTCACTGGAGATAAAAGTCTTGAAAGTTCCAAACCCACTTGTGACTGTCAGGTTAAAATGGCTGTTAAACAGGAGAATACAACACAAGACTCAGTGACAAGGCTGGAGGGTAAAACTGAGTCCGAAGAATGACACTTTTAAAGGGGAGAAAAAACCCAGTTACAACTATCTGGCCAGAATAACCGTTGGCTGTGTGTTGTGGCCACATCAACAAAAAAGCTTTAAAATAAGTTATTTTAGAAAATATATTAACATTTTTCATTATAAAATACCAGACTTTTCCTAACGAAATTGAAAAAAGCTGTGTATTTGTGTTACACACTTTGTATATTTAGGCTATCACAGAGTGGATAGTCTAAATTTATTCTGTGGTACTAGTTTATTCAAATGATGCACACATTTTAATAGGTTAGTTTTTTGCCTAATAGAGGTTATTATTTGAAATGAACCTTCTCTAAAGATGTTGTTCTTCTGTTGTTGTGTAATCTTAGTCATATGTTTCCAAATATATGATTCCAGAGCTTAACAAAAGCACAACATTTTCCTCATCTTTAATCACATTATGGCTGACAATGTACATCTCTCTTACAGCTTTTCATTAAGAACAACTGACTGTGATAGTGCTACAGTGAAAGAAAGAATGAAAACACTCACCAGAGAAGATATTCTTGAGTTAAAGTTCTAGCTGCTGCATTAATTCACCTATATTTCATACAGCAAATATTGTGGGAGTATTTCTCAGTTACCAGTTGCCTGCCTACTTGCCTGCCTGGCTTCCTTGTCACAGGGACTTCTTATGCCATTGCTCCCTTACGCAAGCTCCCAGTGCCAAGGGTTTGCACTCCACGGTATGAGTGAGGACTACCTGACTTCTAAAATTCTACAAAGTGGGCAAATTAAGAGTGATTCGAAGCATACTAAAACTCCCAAGTTATATACAGAAAGTCTCTGATTGTTTATTTAGACTGATGACAATGCTCTTTCAGTATGAAGTCAAATGATGAGATTGTTAGGGTCGTGAAACAGGATCTGTGTAACAACCATGACATTTGCAAAATCTGCTATTAGTACTGTACAGAACACAATTTCCATTGACCACCTTTATAATTAAATATTGGGTAAACAAGGCTGCACTAATTAGATACATAAACACATTTTTTATGGCAGTCTCACCAATGTTTTCTCCTTCTCCTTTTTGTGTACTCACTATTCTGCAAGGTATCAGCAACTCTTGATGAGTTGATGCCTCTTTAGCACAACTGGACAGATTAAAACCATCTATTTTTATTAGGCTATTTTTCCTACATAGAACATGTAATGTTTTTATCATGGAATTTCTGAAGTTAATGCATTTAGATTCAGTATTTGGATGTGGTGTTATTATAATTTCTACCAAAACAGGACTCAAATGCACTAAGATCTATTCATACAAATAGTGAAAACTGATCTTTGCAAACAAGATTGAATAATATCAATAAAAAAACTTAGCAAACACTATGAATACAACTTGATTAAATCAGTAAAATAGCACAGACCAGGTCTTATGTTTCATAGCTATCACTTTGCTTTTGTGATTAGAGAGATAACTGTAAATTATGCTGGTATTATTATCAAAGAAATAACAAACTCTTCATCAGAGATTTTTAAGTTGCTTAGACATGAGTGAAAGAATAAGGAGAAAAATATATAACACAGTAAAGGCTACTATCAACAAGAAGTAATACATTTATTCTGCAAAGAAACTACACAGACCTACTATATGTTTCAAGTAATTTCTTCAGCTCTTCAGGACAAGTTTATATTATTAGAGGTGTTTGGCATTGGTTCTTTAAAACATGATCAGAGATGAAACAAACCTGCTTTCTCTTTGACCCCATCAGCAAACATATCTGTAAAGGCTGAAAAAAATTGTTACAATACATTTTACTTACCCTCATCCTTCCATTTCTTATTGCTGGTCCGTCTTCTGCTAACCTCAACACATACAAATCCATTTTGTACTCTCTTCCTCCTCGAATGCTAAACCCAAACCCTTTGGCTCCTTTCTCCAAATCAACGGTGAAATAATCAAAGTCCTGTATAGACAAATACAAAATGGAAGACAATTAACCGTATGAATGTCATGGTACACATTCAAGAAAACTTTAAAATATATCTCTTCAAAAGTGTGTCTATCCAATTGATATAAGCAAAAGCACCTTCAAAGTATACTTCTGCACTGACAGACTTTGGCCATTTCTGAAAAGAGACTTCAGCAAAATGTAAATGCCTAAGTCTAAACTACCCTGAAAGGGCATGATCCAGCAGTTGTCTGGTACCAAAAGCTCTCTAGATGGTTTCCATATTCACCCTCAATGCTTTCATGGTACCTGAGTATAAGTATTTATGCAAGAAGTGCTGATTTGGCAAGTGAGGTAGCAGGCAGCTCCTGTATAAGCATCATCACAACTAAAAATTAGTGGGAGAGACACCTCCTAAATTCCCAGCAGAACTTAACATGATCAGCAGGCTGGATTGCATGGAGTCACAAAGTACAGCAACTCTCATCACTTTGGTTAAAACATGTGCCTTGAGGAGGAGGTGGGAAGTAGGAGATTTGAGCTTCACCCTTTCTGTGTCCTGCAGAGACTGAGATTGATCTTTCCAGTTTTTTCTTGGTGGACCCTAACTACCAGCCCCGTAGAGGGGTCTGGGTGGGAACTTGCTCTGTTGCTTCTGATCCATTGGCATCGAGGATCGCAAGAGCCATGGGAGCAGGAGGAAAATGAGAGCAAGTTTGGGTTGTGCAGACCAGTGGTTAGAGAATTAAACTGGAGATAGCGAGAAACAGGCAGTCTAAGCATTCCTCTAGATGCTAAGAAGCATCTTATAGGGTATGTGCATGGGGATAGGGATTTGCTATTTAGACACTGAAATGCATAAAATTTTCAGAGGGTTCTCTGGATCCCATTTAAGAATTTGGATATTTTCATTGATATGGTTTATGTGTCTGACTTTGAAAATATGGACATAGAAACCATCTATATATGGTTCCAGCATATAGTGTCCAGAAGTTTACATTCTCTTATTTAATATTTTCCTGACCTCTCTTTGTTTCTGGCTTTATGTAAGGAGAAAGAAAGATGTTTTTCAAAGTCTGAACTTTGGGCTAAATCCTCAAACCTTCACAGCTGTCAGTAAATATTTGTCACCAGCAGAGTCTTGTCTAAGGTAATATAACTCTTCATCTAAGGTTTATTTCTTTGAATTTGTAAGATCATGCCTGATGTCAAATAAACAAGTTGCACAAGCTAGTTTCTCCTCATCCAGACTATTACCAACAGAAATGTAATTTTCTTAGTCAGGATTCACATTCATTTATTTATTTATTCAGATCAGATAAAATCTTCATTTTCAACAATACTGTAGAAACGCAGTCTGACCTAAGTACGTCCACTGTTTGATAACTGTATTATGTTCCTAGGAATAAAAAAAATTCCTCTGCTGATGCAAAGGCAGCTTATTTTAGAACTTTTATTTTAACTCTCCAGTACTTAAAAATAGCATTTATTTAACATTACAGTCACACAACTATAAATGTAGTGTTATTTGACAGATTGCATAGTTCTTCATTAATATTAATGGTTTTGAGGTAATTCCCTCTACAGAGAAATAGTAACTCAGAGTTAAACCAATAAAGGTGCCTTTTTCTTCTATAATGTCATCTTTTTTACCAATATACATGATCTCTCCTTACAGACCCAATGCTTTCTGCTTAGGAGTGCTGTACGTATTTCAGTTTGTACCTGGGGCTGCCTGTACTCTGACAGAGGGTACTGCCTGGTGTCAGGTGAATGCTGCCTGTAATCTATCAAGGGGGGTTGCCTGTAGTCGAGAGGTGGTGGCTGCTGGTAATCCATCACCGGAGGATGCCTGTAGTCCAGCGGAGGCTGTCGGTAGTCCGTTGAGGACTGCCTGTAGTCTGTAAATGGAGGTTGCCGGATATCAGGTTTCACGTCCTGTCTGGCTTTTACTTCTGACCTGTAACTGAGAAAGACAAAATTACTTAGTTTCAGAAAGTGGCAAAATGTTAAGAATATGCATTACATGCAATATTGAAGAGTGAAAGCAAACTGCCTGAGTGCAAAATTGCATAAAACAAATTTTCACAGAGAAGCAAAACATTCAGGAGCAAATAGTCGAGGCATCCAAAAACAGTGAGCACTTTTGAAACATGGACATAAGCAATTTTCCCTCAGGTCATACTGTGCAATTTTCTAGCTCGTATCAGTGAGATCAGGATTAGGCTTAAAGGTTCAGGAACAGGGAAAGCATCTTGATTCCCACTTATCTTGCCTACTTGGAAGATGAAACTGCATCTGAAAAGACCCACAAAACTCACTACAAACTAATGCACTGAGTTTATAAAGTGCTTTTTTCCAGAATTAAGATATCTATAGAGTAAATGAAACATCAGTGCAGACATTTATAGCCCCTCTGTTTCATTGACATAAACTATTATTATTGTGAGCTTCTTTGTACTAGCTGTTATCTTTTTAATGAAAGGTATTGTTCAATATCTTTATCAATGATGTGGATGAGGGGATTGAGTGCACCCTCAGTAAGTTTGCAGACGACACCAAGTT